CTTAGAAAGAGTCATGAGCTCTCATCTTTTCTAGTGAATTCCAGAGTTCTGCTCACTGTTCCTACTCCACCAAAACATGCAAAAAGGCTGGTCACTTCTTTGCAGGTGGCAACAGGCAGCCTATAGCATGACATAACAAAGAGTGGTAAAGCATTGAGGATAGATTTGACCAGGACTTCTTTCCCAGCAATTGAGAGATAATTGTTTTTCCAATTGAGGATTCTATTCTTCACTGCCTCTGTCACAAAGCCAAAAACTTGCCTTTTAGAATGGCCAATACCAAAGGGCATACCCAGATATCTAGAGGATTTCTGAATTTGGATCTCGTAAAAGTAGTGACAGACAACCTGCTTGATGAGTGGGCTAGTGTTCTTGTTGAAGAAGATGGAGGACTTAACTGTATTGACCTTTTGGCCAGAGATGAGCTGGTATTGATCAAGAATAGTCTTGATGTTTTCTGGCTTGATACTCATCTGCCTTGCAGAAAAGGATGGAGTCATCTGCAAATAGCAAATGAGTGAGAATCGAAGCATCTTTGGCTAGAGAGATTCTTTTGTAGACTCCCCTTTCCTCTGCAGAGTTGATCATTGCTGAGAGCACCTGGAGATTTGGAGGGGCTCATTAAGAATAAAGCAGCCTGAATTTCTTCAACTTCCACAGGGACAAGCAATTCTGAGTTGATTGTGTCTGAAATTGAGTGTGGGATTTGCTGAAGGAGTCTATCTCCTCCATAGGAACCTTCTGAGGTCAAGAGATTTTTGTAAAAGTCTTCAACACGATTTTGGATCTCCTCTCTGGATTCACATATCCTTTGGTTCTTTGTGACAAGCATGCTAATGGCATTGAGTCTTCTCCTTTGCATAATCCAGGCATGATAGAAATGAGTATTTTGGTTGGCTGCATCCATTTCCCTTTGGAGTTTATCCCATTCCTCCGAGTCTCTATTGCCTCCTTGTTCTCTCATTTCTTCAAGCTACAAAGATATATTTGAAACTCATATTAAACTCCATTGTTGTTAAGTTCACCAATTAATTAATTTGAGTTATAGTGCTATTCAATCCTAGTAGGCACCACGTCGTGTTAAAACTCATATTAAACAAATTAAATTAGCCGATTTAACTTGTAAAAGTTCGGTTCAACTCGACTCACTTAACAAATATAAAAGCTTAAAAAACCTATTAACAAATCCCTTTGTTTAAACAAGCTTGAGGTCCTTTAGTTGTTTAAACCTATTGATGGTGTAATTAAACAAACAAGTCGGTCGAACTTTCACATATAAAATCAAATAGTGTTTACAAAGCAAGTCGATCCGCTTAACGATGATATCAGAATGTTTAACTTAGGCCACTTGTAAATGATTGCACCACAATATTCACACACACAAAATATTAATAATAATAAAAAAAAGTTTAAAAAAGTGTATGAGCCAATAAAATAAGCGTGAGTGGCATGTAAAGACGCAAGTGTTCCGTGAAGCACGTCTGCGAACACCGATTGTGACCGGCACTTGTTAATTTCACGGCAACCTGACTGACATCAAACACACCGCCGTCTTCAGCTATCCGACGTACGTGACCGCCATTTTTGTTTAACAATTATATTGTCCCTATTACCTAATATTTTAAATATATATTGTCAAATATATATATATATATATATATATATATATATATATATATTTTTCTTTTTGTTTTTCCGACGGCTGACGCCACGATTTTCACAGTCGATTATTGAATTCATAAAAATACACGATTTTTGTGTTCTGTTGAAGGTGTGTATTTATTTCCTACAATTATATATATATATATATATATCAATTATGCGTGTGAAAATGAAAAACTGTGAGAAATATCAAATTATGCGTGAGAAAATGGAAAATGGTACGCAATTTATATTAAGTGGAGCTTTTGAACATTTTTTTTTTTCTATATGTTATATTCCCGTATGTTTAGTCACTTAGTTTGCTTGTTCTTTTTTTTTTCTTTAATTGGTATTTGATGGTAAACTCGATTATTCGAACTCTGTTCAACTCGTTTAAAGCTCATTTGTTAATGAATAGACTTAGGCTACATTCACATTAACTATGATCATTATATTTTAAATATTATTTACTTATATATATTGAAAAGCATTTACTCAATCAGTTTTATTAAAATAATTCATTTAATCAACCAAATTAATTGGATCATAATGGGTGATTCATATACCATCACGCCCTTATTCCTTGAGTAATCTATACTTATATTAAAAGGTATACTATTTACTAAATGTAGTATGTAGAATAGTCAACCCTAATTAATGATTTGCTATTTTTATCAAGTATTTAATTAATGCATCTAATATTTTTGGTATGCAAATCAAATTAGCATTTAATTAGTTCATAAAATATTACATATGCAATATTAATTTAGGAATATCCATGCAGTTCCTAATATGTTGGTATGTAGTACGTAAAAGAATATTTTTTTAAATATAAAATATTGCAACACATAAAACTTTTCCAATTATTTTTTATTTTATTTTACATATAAAATCTAATCAATATTTAATGCATTCTACAAAATTGGATAGAAATAAAAAATTACGTAAAATATTTACTAAAATAAAAAAAAATATTTATAATCTAATTTATTATCTAATTGTATGGAAATTTGTTCTGATTTTATGGTACGTACTACAAATTGTGCACCCATGTTCAGGAGCTACTTAACGGGCAAGCTCTGTGGAAATAACTCATTTAGTGCTTCTGTCCTGTGCATACAGTATGTATTTGTATTACACATACTAGAAAATTGTGCACCCCGTGCATTGCACGGACTCTGTACTAATAAATGACCTTAAAATTGTGCACCCGGTGCATCACCCATGTTCACATTTTGGCTTATTACATGTCACGTACTATATATATCATGTACATTTTTCTTTATTCATTTATATAATTATTAGACTTGATAAATGACTTTTGTGCACTCCGTGCATCGCACGGGATCTGTACTAGTTATTTGTCAATAGAGTGAAAGTGAACTTTTATTTTAGGTTGGGTAGATAAATTCTTGGACAAAAACAGCCACATAATTCTATCCTTCCCAAAAAAAAAAACATCCACATAAAAACAAAAACGAGTGAGTTTGGCAAAAATTAGTGGAACAATTTTACCTTTTACTTTTCGTGGATGCTATAAATATTGTCGTATCTTTAGGAAATTGATATTAAAATAAATCTATCAAAATCGGGTTTTACTGACGAAAAGTTTAATTTGTTGGCGTGAACTAACATTATTATTCAAAGTATGTAAATCTTCTATGCAAAAACATTGAATTCATGAGAACTTGTTTGAGTGTAAAACATTTCAACAATTGACGCATATTAATTATATCTAAATTTCTACTTAACTTTTTTAAGTAAAAATATATAAGTTTATATCATAAATTAATTCAGATAATGTTTAAATTTTTTTTTATATATATATATTGTTAAAATGACAATCCATAAATTTAATTTTGGGATGCTATAATGTGTTCCTTCATTATTATGCAGTTACAATAGATTTAAAAATCCCACCTACTTACTGAAATTGGCTGTTTTTATTTATCTCCACCACCAAATCAATGCATTTGTCATCACAAATTCGTTGTGTTGTGGAGCTGCAAAGGCCAAAACACGTTTGAACGGTTTTGCTATGAAACTAACAGTTGACTTCATAGTAGAACCAACCTTCTGTATTCAACAAGCAAATCTACGATATTCTCTGATTACTTAAATAACACTAATATAATTTTATTAATATAATAAGTTTATTTGTTGTATATAAAAGTTTGACTCTGTAATAAAGCTAACTATTGGCTTCAATTGTCAACATTGAAAATACCAAATACATACAGGGGTAGAAAAGTAAAATCGCAATAATACAATGCAGGTAAAAAACAAACAAGAGTAACTGAAGGCACTGCAGCTGGCTGCTTGAATATACATCACTCCGTTTGACCTTTCTGCCGTACGTTAGGTCATTATTTTTCGAAGACAAGTCTACCTGGAATTTTGTTACGTCTCTCTCCCCACACTCTCACCGATGGCGCGTGCTGCCACACTCCCCTTGTCTTCAATATTTTTTGGAGATTTTTTAGCATTTTACCATTTATTAACTGAAATTGGTTGTTCGCAACAAAATTAACTGATTCGAAAACAAACTTGCAAACATTACGAGTGACTGAGAGTGCTCAAAGTAGGGGTGGGACCGGTTCGGTTATCATCCAAAATTTTGAGAACCGAAATTTGAAGCATGTGTAAATTTTCGGTTCGGTTACTCTTTAATTTTTATCAAGAACCGAAAAAGAACCGAACCGGCCATTTTCGGTTCGGTTCCTCCGGTTCTTTGGTTAACCGGATACAATGCTAAAACCGTTAATGACCGGGTATAAAACCGGTTATTGTTGTAGAAACCGGTTATTCTTGAACTGTTATGAAATATGAACCTGCTAACAAGCTTATAACTGTATAATGAACCACTGTCTCATAAGTCATAATATATTCATATCAGCACAAATTACAAAATACAAATAGGCACCATGACATGATTCAACTTACAAGCTTTAGTACAAAACTGAAAAGTGAAAAGTGAAAACTACAAATTATCAATCTATCATCATGGTTCATGAACCACAATAGTGCAATACCACATCAAGTCATCAATCATCAAATCCAACATACAAATTACTGAAATTAGTAATTACAAAACCAAGCTGCCAAAGACCAAAGTCCACAATCCATACAAATCAATAATACATAATCCACATTCCACAATTCAGTCATGAGTCCACACTCCACAGTCACAATCATAATCCACACTCCACACTCCACAGTTCATACAAGCCACAGACCCACAAAAAACCATAATAAGTTAATAACTCAAAAGCTCAAACTTCCAAATCAAAGTTCAATGTTCAATGTTCAAACTTCCAAATCAAAGTTCAAAACTCAAAAGCTAAATGGCAGATTACATTTCAAATTTTCATTTTGGAAGAAGTTCCAGCATCAGAGCCTTTGGAGGCTTTTGCAGCTTTATTTTTCTTCTCAATCAACTCCATTTCCTTCTGTTTCTCCAACTTCTCTCTATGCTCTCTCTCCTCTTGATCCAATTCTGTCAAACCAGAAAGAAAAATCAAAAAAAGAAATGAGGGGGATAATCAGTGACACTACTCAGATGATTGAACAATTACACATATAAATATAAGTTATATAACTCACCTTGTTCAGTTTTTTCAAGCCATTCAATTTCATCTGGGGTAGGAGTGTATGCAAGGGTTGTGATTGAATCAGACTTAAGCCAACTTTGAAGACAAATCAGTGCTTCCACTGATCTAGGAGTTAATGAACTCCTATGAGGATCAATAACTCTTTTCCCAGTGCTAAAACATGACTCAGAAGCAACAGTACTAACTTGAATGGCTAGCACATCTTTAGCAAGTGCTTGCAAATTAGGATACTTACCTCCCATTAGCTTCCACCATGACAAAATATTAAAATCAACTCCTGGACCTGGCTTCTCAATTGGATCAAGTAGGTATCTGTCAACCTCATGAGCAACTACAACAGCATCAACATCTTCAAGGTCTTTTTTCCAATCTTCCATCATTTTTGCTTTCTTCCCTGTCAGCTTGTTTGAAGAACAACTACAATATAAAATAACAAAAGTAAATGAAGTCAGAAAGACATAAACTGAGAAACAAGATGAAAGAACTAACTAACTATGAAATAAAAATAGAAAACTGAAAAGTAAACTCTTTCAACAAACAAGTACCTGCTTCCACTCCCAGTTTCATCACCATCTGCCTTTTTTGTGCTAGAGCTTTGAACACCATTCATTGAAGCATACAAGTCAGTGAGAGTAACAATCAACTCTTTCAACCTTTCTGTCCTTACCTTTACAGTAAAGGCATCATAATTCAACATCCTCCCAAGAACTCTAGTGAAATACCTTAGCTTGAACCTAGGGTCTAACACCAAAGCAACAATCAGGAGCTGATTCACATCATCTAGTGAATCAAAGTACTTGTTGTACTTGCTCCTCATTTGGACTGACATGTTGAACAATGTTTTCTCATAATCTGTGCTGTGGTTTGTGATTGAGGCATCAAAAATCTCTTCTATCTCACATTTTAATGAAACAATATCATGGAATGCTTTGTGAGCAGTAGGTTTGCTTGAAGCACTAATATTCAAAGTGACATCAAAAAACACTCTCAAAAACTTCACAAATGCAGCAGCTTTTTCCCAATCATCATCAGTTGGAGGCCCCACTTTCTTCCCTCTCACTACTTTATCTTTCTTTCTTCTAATTATTTCAGTCCCTTGGTCCCCTATAGGTTCAACAGGTTCATTCCCAAAATCAATCCCTACAACATCTTCTCCATCTTCCTCATTTTCCTCATCATCCTCATCAAAATAACTTTTATACTTAGTGTCTTCTTCTTCAGCCAATCTATCAAATGCTTGCCTAAGTTCAATAGCAGTTTCAAGCATAATAAAGGTGGAATTCCACCTAGTTGGCACATCCAAAACACACACCTTTCTACTCTGAAGTTCTTCTTTTTTAACACATTCTTTAAAGGTTTCTAACCTTGCAGGTGAACTTCTCACATATTTTACAGCATTTCTAATTGAAGCAATCGACTTATCCATGCATTTAAGGCCAGATTTGACAATAAGATTGACAACATGAGCTAAGCACCTCATATGAAGAAACTTCCCCCCTAGAATCAGTTGTTTTTCACCATTGCCTAGTTTCCTTCTCATGTAATCTATTGCCACTTTGTTTGCAGATGCATTATCAACAGAAATAGTTAAAATCTTCTTGATAGACCAGTCCTGCAAACATCTTTCTAAAATCTTCCCTATAGTAATTCCTTGATGATTAGGAATCACACAGAAGTTCAACACCCTCTTATGCATATGCCAGTTGCTATCAATGAAGTGTGCTGTAATTACCATGTAATTTATGTTTTGAATTGAGGTCCATGTATCAGTGGTCAAACTAACACAATGATTCCTCAGCTCATCTTTCAAACACTCTTTTTTGGTATTATACATGCTCAGAAAATGTTTCACCACCATTTTTCTACAAGGAATCTTCCATTTTGGCACAACAACTGAACAAAATCTTTTAAACCCTGATTTCTCAATAGCACTAAATGACAATTCATCTATAATTATCATTTCAACAGCTGCCTTAGTGCAATTTTCTTGGGTCCAGTGTGTGACAATCGATTCATTACCCTCTACATCTCTTGAAAAATGTTTTTGACCAGAAACATTATTTCTTGCACTACCCGGATAACCATCACAATGCAGTTCTAAATGCTTCTGAAGTGTACTAGTTCCATTTCTCGTTGAATTACAAGCCAAGTCAGATTCACAATACCTGCATTGAGCTCGGTTGGTTAATCCAACTTGGACCATTATCCCCTCCTCGTTTCTACTCATCAGTGGCTTCTTCACGACCGCAAAATGCTTCCACACCCATGATTTCTTTTTGGTCTCGGACCTCTCGGTTTGCTCGCGTCCCCGTTTTTTCTTTGAAATTGGCCTCTGACTCTGAATTTTTTTCTTTTTGCTCTCGTTTTCAATTTCATCTTGATCTTTGTTTGATTTTTGAGAATCATTGGTTTTATCGGAAGAAGATGCCATAAGAAGTAAGAAATATGACAAAAGATTGAAGATTTGTGAAGGATGGTCGAATGGAAAGAAAAATTGAAATTGAGAATTTGGGATTAGGGTTTCTGTTGAAGTTCGAAGAGAGAGAGAGTGAGATTTGAGAATGTGAGAAATGAGAGAAAATTTTTGATATTTTAATAAAATAATGAATATTGAATAATGAGGAAAAACCAAAAAATTGAAAATAAGTAATAAACATTGAGTTGGGTTGGGCAAACTTTACTAATTTGTTAGTGGGCTACAAACAAACTTAAACTGGGCCGGTTAGTTGTCCACTTATATAATATATATAGGGCAATTGTTCGGTTCCTCGGTTAAGTGTACGAACACTTGTTAATAACCGAAAACCGGGAACCGAAATTTAGCCTAAAAAACCGAACCGAGAAAGTGCAATTTTTTTCGCGAATAACCGGACCGAACCGGGTAATTTCGGTTCGGTCCGGCTCGGTTTTCCGGTTTCCGGTTTTAAAATCCCACCCCTTCAAAGATCATTGTTGAACCAGTAAAACTAATGTTAGAGATATCTAATGGGTTAAATAGTTAACATTTTTTTTTTTTTGAATTTATATACATAATTTCAATATGAAATATCAATTTACAAAGAACAATATAAATAAAAATATGCAATTTAATAATAAATCACACAGCATTAAAAAAAAAAAAAGTAATAAAGTAAAATAAAGGCCAGCCGCGATTGTGGACGGTGGGTGTATGGATCTGGTCAACTCTGTTTGACCACGCCCTTTAGGTAAATGCGGACAAATCCTAAAACCGAAAAACGAAGGGTCACTTGGGTAATTTCAAATGATCCACTTTAATTTATTTATTAGTACTAATTTTTATTTAATTATAATAAAAATGAAATTATTTGTTGTCGCTGTTTGGGTTGCCTTCCTTATCACTGCCCCCTATATATATATACTGTGATGACCCTTTCATTTTATCCTTCAAAGGACACACAAAAAAAGCACAATCACACACACTAAATCACGCACGAACTAGAGAGAGCGTGATATGAGAACGAGGAGAGGATTATGCTATCCTCGAGTGATGAATATCTCTGTCGTAAATAATCGGAGAAGAAAGCCGGCGGAGGCCGCCGGAGAACACCACGGCTGCCTGAAAAGGATAAGAGCCTCGCCGGAAATTGGAGGAGGGTACGACTTTTTTGAGGCCTTGCCTGATGATATCGTTCTCTGTATTCTCGGCAAGCTCAGCTCCACCGCCGGCTGCCCCGCCGATTTCATCAGTGTGCTGATAACGTAAGGACTTTTATTTTGATTAAAGATTGTATTTTTTATGTTAAAGATTCGGTTTTTATTTTTTATTTTTTAAAAAAATGAATGAGTTTGCGTTTGCTATTGCAAAAATTGAATCTTAATTTCGAATTGTTGGATGAACAGATGCAAAAGGTTCAAGGGATTAAGCCTTCACTCTCAGGTGTTGTCAAAAGCCTGTGAGAAAATGTTGGCAGTGAAAGCAAAAAACTGGTCCGAGTCGGCTCACCGATTCCTCAAACTCTGCGCCGATTCCGGCAGCGTCGAGGCGTGCTACACTCTTGGAATGGTTAGTACTTTTTAGTTTTTTAACTTTTTAGTTTTTTAATTATTTTCCTATTTTCGTTGTGTCCATTATTTCTTGATTCATGTGCAAGATCCAATTTTTAGCTAAAACATGCGAATTTTAATTCAATAAGATTTATTTTTTTATTAATTAAATTTGTTTATTCGCCGGACACAGATTCGATTCTATTGCCTGGAAAACAGAGGTAGCGGGGCGTCCCTGATGGCCAGGGCCGCGATTGCGTCTCACGCTCCGGCGCTGTACTCCCTCGCCGTCATCCAGTTCAACGGCAGCGGTGGCTCCAAGAACGACAAGGACCTCCGAGCCGGCGTCGCCCTCTGCGCGCGGGCTGCCTTCCTCGGCCATGTCGACGCTCTCCGGGAGCTCGGCCACTGCCTCCAGGACGGTTACGGCGTCCGCCAGAACGTCGCCGAGGGCCGCCGTTTCCTCGTCCAGGCCAACGCCCGCGAGCTCGCCCTCGTCCTGGTCGCCCACCCTGCCGCCGTCGTTCCCCGCTCGTGGCTCGCCTGCAACCACTACCACCGCCAGCCGGCCCCCGGCGCCGGCGGCTGCCCCCTCCTCAGCGACTTCGGCTGCAGCGTGCCGGCGCCGGAGGCTCACGCGGCCAACCGGTTTCTCTCGGAGTGGTTCGCCGGCATGGGCGAGGACGGGCCGG